GAGGAGGAATTGTGGTCGGGATTGAGACGGAGGATGCGGATTTTAGGGTCGGGATTGGGGTTTTAGGGTTTTGATTTGGGGAATAAGAGCGGGCGGGCGGGCGAGTATAGACCGTCCATTTAGCGCCCGTTTAATATGATGTAAAATGGAGCCGCCCGATTAGGCTCATTTAATTAAATGGGTGGGTGTTGGGTGGGTCAAGTGATGGGCGGGCTAGGTGGGTAAATGGGTATGGGCCAAAATTGACTTCCCTAAGTTCACAGGGGTGCCGGATTCATAATTAAATCAACACGAGTGATGCATTCTATGTTACACATCAGAGACGGGTAATGTAGCACACACTATTTTGAGATAGGACTAAGCTGTACGTCTGTGCTATTTCAAGGCACTATGCTGCTACTTATTGTGAAATAATGCATAATGTAACATGTTTTTTTTTCAATAATTTTCATTAGTTACAGATTATCTTGGAAAGGAAAGGCTAAATTGTTTGTTTACTCTCATTCCTCATTCGGATTTTGGGAGCACAACTACTACTGGACAACTGACTACTATCGAGTAATTGAAAGGAAATTTGTTCATTAAGCAGCCAATACTGTTTATTTGCATGATATTTTTTGCCATGTGAATTATCATCATTCTGTGGAGCTAAGTTATTCTAAGTCACGTGTTGTTCAACTATTACACTTGTGAGTTATACAATGCATTTGGCAGTTTATTGTAGATTACGTTTTAGTATCTAGTCAAAGTAATTCTACTTAATATACTGGCACCTACATGGGTTTCAAGAGCTAGAAATAACTCTGCTCCTGATCACAAAAGTTTCCTCAGATTAGGTTGCAATTAGGGGTGGAAAACGATCGAATTGAATCAAATAACACGATAATCGAATTCGATTTCAGCCTGTTTTGACATATCTTATTCTAATTTGGTTCGAATACTAAGTTTTTAAATTTGATTCGACATAATATCTGCATATTCATTAACTACGGACGAATACTTTAGTAGCTCTGTATCATTATGTACACAACTAGGTGGAACATGCTTTGACATTTTTTAACACATAAACATGTTATTTCTTACTTAGTTTAATTAATTATCCAGTGTAGAAAATTAACTGACAAAAACTTCAAAATAAACCTTATTCATAATTTTAATCTAATTACCCCATATCCAATTTTGAGTATCTCAGTCAACTTAATTTAAGTTAAAAGTAGTAGATCTTAGTTATAAGCTTGAATAATTAAAATCTATTTATAATAGATATCTCTTTACTTTGAGATGTGTGGGAATGATATTTGTTAATTATTTGGTTCCACCCCTATTCTTTACTTATATATTTATATGAGGATATGATTTGAAAGATAAATTTTGGGTGAATAATATTTGTAACAAGTTGAATTCATAACATGTAAAATGTTATCGAATAATTAATATAAACCGAATTGAATATATCTTTAGTAAATTCAAGTCGTTTGTGAATCGAATACTAAAGGATAGGACAAATTTTCAAAATCAACCATTTTCGAAATTTAAATAGCAAAATCAACCTCTTCGAAATTTATTCAGCAAAACCGACTCTTTTCTTCTGAAAAGGGTCGGTTTTGCTGCGGAAGAATTTTTACGACATACACGGGACTGCTAGTCCCATGTATTTCGTGGCAGTTTCGAATAACACGGGACTAGCAGTCCCGTGTTTTTTGCAAAGACTAACATCTCTACAAAAATGAAGTGCACGGGACTGCTAGTCCCGTGCATTTTGCAGAGACTCTATCTCTGCAAAAAAACAAGAGCACGGGACTGCTAGTCCCGTGCACTTCCTGGGCGCAATGAAATGCATGGGACTCAAGTGCACGGGACTAGCAGTCCCGTGCATTTCCTGCACATTCACAACTATGCATGCATTTCTGCTACGGGATAATTCCCTATACAAACTCATATTTCAAATGCAACAATCATAAATTACACCATTGCATAAACACATATATCAATTCTCTGTACAAACTCATATGTCAATTTCCTGTATAAACACATATCAAATCTAAAAATCATAAAATACACCACAAACTTACGAATCCAAATCCAACAAATCACGCCACAAACCCACTTACAAATCTAATAAGTCACACCACAATCTCAGCTACAAATCCAAAAACCATCTATTGTCCCGAAATACGTTTGTAATGTACATATCAAAATAGGATTGTAATTTATATAACAATACCGATTAGCTTACATACATCCAAGAACTCTCCTCCTCCTCTTTTGTCTTCGACCTCCTCTATCCCGACCTTCGATGAGTTCATGATCCGGTTGCGTTTGTGGTTGTGACGATCCAGCTCCATCGTCAGCACGTTGGGAAGGCCCAGCTTCATTGTCGTTTCTGCGTCGTCCTCGTCTATGTCGTTGTTGACGTGTGTATACTAATTGCGCTACTGAAGGTCTTCATGAGTTCGATGTAAGGCTTGGTGAAGCCTCTGCATTATCGACTGATATATTGATGCATGTTTCTGTGCTTCGGGATATGTACCTACGAGAGATAATTCAAAAAAATCTGAAATGCAAAAATTACTTTAAAATTCAAATTACAATATGTAAATTTTATATTTAATTTTATATTACCTGCTCGAGCCAATTCCAAGCCACTATTTGTAATGGTTTGAACATCATCTATTGCTGATACCTGTAAATTTTTAAAAAAACATAATTTAGCAATATTGAAAAATTCTAATAAAAATGAACTTAAAATAAATTTGAAAATACTTACTAATTCTTTCTCATCTATACCCCGAGGCACATATCCTCTTTGCAACTCAACCGGGGATGTGGTCGCATGGAGTATCCATCTTCTAGTTATCCTCCAATACCAAGTGTAGTAATCTGATTCCTGGGGAGTTGGCTCGATTTGCTCAACAATACAAAAATGTCTATCATTCCATCTGTGTATATAATTTTGATGCTCAGCTGCCCAGTCCTTTTGTTGGCCTCCTTTCTTCGCCTTCCTCTCTATTTTTTCAACAAATTGCGGAGCATGTTGTGCAAGACCAAATTGTCGAAGCACGCGGTCCGGTACATGTATTTCTACTATCTCGAAACATATTAGAGGAACTCTGGCTCTCCATATAACTGGGTATTCTGTGCATATCGGGGGTAGATGATCGAGAAATGGGGTGTAGGGCTCTCATTCCATCTGCAGAGTATTACATATAATTGTTGCATATCATTAAAACGATAGTTGATATATAGAAGAAAAAACTCGTTTTTATAGAAATGAAACCTGAAAAATTTTCATGCGGTCAAGCTCATTTCGGTAGAAATCTAACTGTCTCGTCGGGGTCTCGTCAAAACATTTTTGGACATTCCATCTGTGTTAGTTTTAAAATTCAGTACCAAATGAATAACTACAATTATATTTACTACGTTAAAAAATATAATACTTGTATCCTAGTGGAATTTGTCCGTCTAATTGTAAATTCACGCATAGTCTCGGCTTCAAATGCAGCCTCTCCCATGCCCATACTTGCAGTAAGCTGAGACATCCTTTGAGGTCACTATTTTTCATGAATGCAACCTTAGACATCTCTCTATATAGGTACGCAGCTGAGACATCCTTTGAGGTCACTATTTTTCATGAATGCAACCTTAGACATCTCTCTATATAGGTACGTCAAAACTGTACTACCCCACGATAACGCACCACACGTGTACCTTAGACATCTCTCTATTATGCGCTCATCCTCTAAATGCCAACGGCTATGGCTGAGGCTATGATCAACCATAACAATATCCGGGCCTCTCTGTAAAGCAAATGAATATATAAGAATACAATATTATAAGAATGCAATATTGAAATTATAAGAAACTTAGTTACCTCTGTAAAGGATATAACATGTGAACGGTGTCGAGGCTGGTCATATAGGACCTCATCACTAATCGGTCCAGGCTCCATGGTGTATATACCTGCACATACAATTATAACATATCAATAACCGATCCACGACTAATTATATTGTCTACATTAAAATAAATCACAATTTGAATATGTCAATTATTACCAATTAATTGCTATCTATTGAGTCTAGCTGGACAACGAGGTCGAGTATGTCCCGGTTGTTTGCAAAGACTACATTTTTTATGCTTGACAATTCCTTCTCGTCCTTGATCCATGGTTCCCCTAATTCGTACAGATCGTGGTCGACCTGCTTGTCTCTTGTATTGAGGTGGAATTAGTCGTGGTCCAGTATATTCGGGCCAATACCGACTATCATCGGGTGGATGAAAACTCTCATTGTATGTCTTTCGGTAATGAATTGTTGAATACCATGGTGAACAATACCCGATTATATGGAATTCTCGCACCACCCGGCTGATTGGAGAAGCCGCAAGAACATGTGCACAAGGTATTTTTTAAAGTTGTGGTATGTTACATGTGCAAGTGCAATCAACATCAAACAGTTTAACGGTGTAAATACCATCATAATCCTGTACCTGCCATTCATTGTCATTGAATACAGTAATTTGACATAATCTTATCGCCTCAATTCTTCTATGCAAAATAGACTCATTCTTTGGTGTGTAACGCGTTGTCCAGTCTACACCGTCCTCACGCTTATTGTTGAAGTATGAGTTTAGCCTATAAAACGTTCTTGCAACCAATGATTGTATTGGCATAGCTCGTGCTTCTTTAAGAACGCCGTTAAAGCTCTCGGAGCAATTAGTTGTCATCATGCAAAACCGCACACCCTCATCCTTACATAATGCCCATCGATGCTCGAATTGAGGCTTTAAGTTATGTTCAATCCAATTATGTGCATCTAATGACAAAGACTTGATCTTCTCTCTGCAATATTCATACACTAATGTATCGGTTGCATACCCAGCTTGCCACAAAAGATTTTACAAATTAATCTCACCGTGTTTTTTCTTGAAATTATCTCTTATATGACCCAGCTTGCCACAAAAGATTTTACAAATTAATCTCACCGTGTTTTTTCTTGAAATTATCTCTTATATGCCTCAAACAATATCGATGGTGATGTGTGTTTTTTCTTGAAATTATCTCTTATATGCCTCAAACAATATCGATGGTGATGTGGTGCACCAAAACCTTCATGTAATGCCCTTATAATTCCTTTCATCCTATCTGAGATAAAAGTAATTAATCTGGACGCACAGACACTAGGAATCCACTTGTATACAAGTTCAAAGAACCACTTCCAACTAGAAGTATCATCTACCTCCACAACTGCAAATGCTAGAGGAAATAAACCGCCATTTGCATCTACACCGGTCACCACAAGAAGCACGCCTTTGTACTTGCCATATAGATGTGTACCGTCAATGCTTAATAACAGACGACAAAAAGTGAAAGCCCTTAATAGCCCGACCAAATGCCCAAAATACTCGAGTGAACCTCTCCATCCCCGGTGCAATCTCTTCAGACAATATTTCATATTCAGTTCCCGGATTATTTCGCTTGATAGCTTCAAGATACTGTGGAAGTAATTCATAAGATTTTTCCCAATCTCCAAATATTTTCGACAACGCTTTCCTCCTTGCATCATATGCCTTATATTTAGATATCTTAATGCCCCGCATATCATACACCCTTTGAAATATCTGACTTGCATTTAGATCAAGTTCAGCTCTAACTTCAGGCATAATTAGCTTACATATATAAGAGGAAGATGCAGAATAATGATCGACGTCCACCGACGGATTGCAACATGTATGAAGCCCGCAATATCTAGATATTACAAATTGTCCATTTGTTGATTTCCTCACAGCGACATTTAGCAACCAAGGACATTTCATGTTTCTCTCATCTTGCTCATTTGCATGCTTTACTTCATTCTTCTCGTTGAAATAACATTTTACATAGTAGTTGGTTGCATTAGTTTTTACAGGCTTGAATTTGACCCGATTTTTATAGACCATTCTTACACCGCAAAGATCAATGCTTCCTTGCTCTCGAATAGGTCCTCTTTTTTAAAAGTGAAGTCTTCAGGCCGTTGAAAGTTTGGACCAACATCAACAAATTCAGCTTGCGAAGTATTTATCCAATCTTCATTATGAAACTCGTCGAGCAACGGATCTTCAGCTTTCACATAATCATTGTTAACATTAAATTGATCCATCCAACGAGAATCATCATCGATTCCAACTGTCACATGCATGCTATCAATTTACACGTCTTCTTCTTCAGTATCTTCTGAGTCATCATTTACTTTTTCTTCTACAATTGATCCGGCCGGTAGAGCACCCGTAACATAGCCCGATGCGTCGTTAAATATAGTACTTGACGTCCCACCAAGAGAATGCCCACTTAAATGTTGTAGTTGACACCATGGCTCTTGACTTGGAGATGTCATAAAACCACTCGACTCATTGTCTAAGTCCATCATCCGAGAAAACTCTCCTTGTGGTCGTGAAACTTGGGCAAATTCTTGAATCGGATACTTCTCAATGAACAACTCAACTGACACTTGCTTCTACACTAATTGTTTCATGTCATTCAATTCCTCATCGTCGGTAATCACCACAGTAATAGTTCTACTCTCATTTATCGGACAATTGAAGAACACTTTAATTGCATACCATGCTTTATTAATTTTCGTAACTCTGTGTATTTCATTCATCATTCCATCAAAATTTAATGACTTGGATAGCATAAACATTTTCCTAGAACCTCCCTCATACATCGGCATACTATTCAATCCGACGCCGAGGCTCCCATTGAAGAAGCAAATAATGGGTATAGAGTTTGTCATCGAAGCTGAAAATCAACAGTCCATCATATGTAAATAATCTATTATAACTAGAAATATTAATCTTAATTTAAAGTCAAATTTAAAACCCTAATCTCAACTACAAAGCAAATAATGGCTAAATTCCCTAATCCCAAATCACATTATTCATGTCTAAACCCTAATTATGGTTAAACCCTAATCTCAAATCGCATTATTCATGTCTAAACCCTAATCATGTCTAAACCCTAATCATATTATTCATGTCTAAACCCTAATTTCCTAATCTCAACTAAATACATTCCCAAATTTCAACCTTAATCCCAAATCTCAATTAAATCCATTCCCAAATCTCAACCCAAATCCATTCCCAAATCCGAAATTTCATGGCTAATCAAAATTAAAAAAAACCACATTTACCTTGGTCGCCGGCGGCGGCGGTCGGAGTGAACTTGGTCGGCGGCGGTGGTGGTCGGAGGGCGCTTGGTCGGCGGCGGCGGTGGTCGGAGGGCGCTTGGTCGGCGGCGGCAGTGGTCGGCGTCGATGGGTTTGAGGAGCGGGTGAAAGAGGTGGGGTGAAAGGGTTTGGGTGAAAAAAAGTTCGGTCAAGAGGAAGAAACTCACGGGTTGGTTTTTACCCCCCGATCGCACGGGACTGCTAGTCCCGTGTTATTCGAAACTGCCACGAAATACACGGGACTAGCAGTCCCGTGTATGTCGTAAAAATTTTTTCGCAGCAAAACCGACCCTTTTCAGAAGAAAAGGGTCGGTTTTGCTGAATAAATTTCGAAGAGGTCGATTTTGCTATTTAAATTTCGAAAATGGTTGATTTTGAAAATTTATCCTAAAGGATATTCATCTACCTGATAAATGAACTACCAAATCAAAGAACGAATATCTGGACGAATAATAACCAAATTGTTTATTAGTTATTTGGTTCACTTCCACCCCTAGTTGCAACATCCCACTTTGTTAAATGAGAACAGTGGATACAGATTTTTTTTTTTGAATTTTATGATCTACATGGTATTCAGTATTTCACCTACTCACCATGTTATATAAGAATCGCTGTCCTTTTCGACCTTGTATATTTAGGCCTATCTTCCTTGTTTTTCCATTTTCAATCATCTTATTTGTTACTACTATTGGCACTGAATTCTTGTGTCTGCCTTTGCCTTCATTATCTTTTTTTTTTAATTTATCAAGACCTCTCCGTCAGTATTCTAGGTTCCTTCACTTTCCTTTTTTTCTTTTTTGTAATTTATCATTTTATTTATTTATGGTGATCTCTTCTACAAATGGTCTTACAAGTGCAATGACATCTGCACAAACTAGGATTGCATTCTAGGTACTACTCAGTCACATATATTGCCCATAAGAGCATTGCTAGTTGTCTGATCAACTTGTTTTTTCTCCTTTATTTTGCTATCAAACGTTGAACCTTATTTTTGCGGCCCTGCACACATGCACATACATCCCAAACGGACAAAGTTTGAGGAATGGGTATGTTAACAGGAGTATTTACTGAAACTTTTTGAAAGCGTTCCTTCATCTATCTAAATTCAATCTTGATCCCAGATAAGTGTTACACCGCAAGATTTAGTCTCACATTGGTGGGTGAGTGAGAACTTGAAAAGTTTATAAGTGACATTGTGGGAATTCAAGTATAGCATCCGCTAGTCAATTTTAGCAGTGGTTAAAGTTAAACAATGCACGACACTCACTAGTCCCACGGCTTACACCATGCCGATGGGCTCGAAGGCCTGGGCTACGTTACCTGGACTCAGGTATGAGTATCTGGTACGGGTGTGGATCCGATTGTCCGATACAAAAATTCTAAAAATTTTGGATACGGGGACACCGTCTTAAATTTCGACACGGGTACGGGGATACACTTTTAATAATAGTTTAATTTATTTAATGAAGTACAACTAATTAAATTTCATTCATCTATCTCGTATACACTTTTAATTGCTTCAAATATTTATTGTAAAACCAAGAATTTCCAAAATTATACATTTGTAACAAAGAGTTAAAATGCAATTTAACTCTGCGTTTTTTTTCAAAAAAACGCAAAAAAGAGTTAAAACGGGTTTATTCGCAAAATAACCATAGTTGAGATCTAAATACACGTGGACATTCAATCCACGGTCCATTTTTAATAAGATTCCCCGTTATCTTCTCATCTCATTTCTCTCACTTCACCCGACTCTATCTGGAGCCGCCCCCCAAAAATAATCAAAACCCTAAGTTGTCGACGAGCCACCGCCTCCATCGACGATGAGGAGCCATCTCCCCCACCTCCTTCGTCGACGACGAGCAGCCGCAGCCCCGCCGCCTTCTTCATCGAATTTGGTATGTAATTTCATCGTCGTATCCGAGTGCCAACTATCGTATCCGACCCGTATTTCGTACTCGGATCGGTGTCGGGTCGTATCGACGTCGATACAGTGGTCAAACCGTCGTGTCCGAGTAACGTCGGGCGTTACAAATGGTATCGGAGTAGTCGTCACATCAAAGTGTGGAACTAAATACTATTTAGGACAAAGTGCTACACAGCTTGAATGCAGTGGAAGCCACCTCTAGAATCCGTAGAAGCTGTCTCTAGAATCCACGTTGTCTGGTGGTGTTATGGCGTAATGAGGATGTCACATGATTAAGATGGGTGATTGTTACACCCCAAGATAGATGAGTAGGTGAGAATTTGAAAGTTTGTAAGTGAAGTTGTTGGAAATCAAGTACAGCATTGGCTAGTCAATTTTGACAATGATTTGAGTTAAACAAAGTGCTATACTCAATGGATCCCGTAGCTTACATTGTGCTAACAGGCTCGTAGTTCCAGGGTGTGATAGCAAGAATATAAATATTTTTTGAATGAGGGTCATACCTTTTATGGTAATGTACATTATTCCATATTGTTCATGGCATTACACTTTGCAACTTGTTGCTAATTCATGGACGAAAAAAGATGGTTCGTTGTTGACATTACTTATGAGCATTAATCTAGACATTTTAATAATAATACATGATGATTTTTTAATGTGTATTGTGTTATTGTGCGAGTAAAATGAGTTAATGGCTATGAGTTATATCCACTAATAACTAATGAAATCTATTTTATCTTCTGTCAAGGTTGTTGAAAGCGCAAAGTGTAAGCACCACTAAGGCTATTTGGTGCTTTGGCAACAAAGAGCACACAGTTAAAAAGCGGTCTAGTTTAAATATGTATAAATATTCAAAAAAATTCAAGAAAATTTAAAATTTCTACAAATACATACTTGATGATTTATGGAGATCCAATGATTTTTGATGATGACATGCAGTGCGTTAGGGTTTGTTTTTTAGTACGAACAGCGGAGAGAGACAAAGGAAAAAAAAATGGGTTCAAGTTAGAAAAAGGGGTCTGAGTTTGGGTCAGGTACAAAAAACCCATTTACTGAAGATTTTGGATTGGGTTCGGATCGGGTACAAACCTGATACTTTGTATTTTAAAGTGTTATGTTGTGCAGTAAATTGCTTTTACGAGCTTTGGCCGCTATTCCTAGCTGATAGTGCCGATGTCGCTAAAAATCACTGCTTTTGACCATAGCAGTGCAGGCATAGGCCGCTACTGTTTTGCTCCACTTTTGTTGCTATTTGCAACACTGCCTTCTATTCTCTCATACTACATGAGCCAGTTGCAATAAAACAATAGTCAAGTTAAGCCACGGCCTCTGCCTTTGGATTACTAAGATGAGTTTCTTACTGAACGAGGCACTATCACCAGAATATAGTCTTGAAAATTTCCTTTTCCCTTTAGGTATAAGAACTTTATGATAATGTCCTCGTTAACTACAAATGAATTAATGCAGCATATCTGTTCATTTATCTGAGCATATCATCATCTTCAAAGCTTTCATCTTTGTACATGGTAATTAAAGGTAGATATTCTTGCTTCCATTTGTTTACTTATTCTAATGATTAAAATGTACAAGATTTGTTGATATTTTCTTTTTCAATCGTTATGCTTTTAAGGCTTTAGCAGTTTACTAATCTTCTTTTTAGCATTAGTACTGTAGTCTACAGAAAATCTTGATGACAGTTTTAATTATCTTTACATAAGAAAGTTTTTTACTACTTAAGATGCAGTTCCTTCTCTTATTCGTCAATGCATTTCTGGTAAAAGTTTAACTGACATGAGGTTACTTCTGAAGGCAAATATGGCGTGTTCAGCTTCGACTGTGAAGAAGGTGCCATCTTCTTCCGTTCCTGAGATAGTACCACACCGTAGTTTCGTGAGTACATCTTCTACTGTGAAGCCAACTACTATTATGCTAAGCAAGCCCCCTTTGGTCCCAGTGAAGAATGAACCCAAAAAAGCTGTTAGTTCCAGACTTGTACCTTGCAGTACTGCAACATCTCCAAACGAGTCCAGAGATTCTATTTCTTTTGATGAAAGTAGGTCCATCTGTTATTCTATGAGAAGTCCAGAGTTTGAGTATATAGATAGTGGGGATTCTTTGGCAGTGGCTTCCCTGGAAAGGCGTGCAAGTAACAATCTCCATATATCTGATGATTCAGACGGTTGGTTTTCTCTGTCAGTACAAATCTTCCATCTTTTTTCCCTTACGTCTTATGTATTGTCTCCTTTTTTTCTGAATTAGGAGTAAAACTTGAATGCCTCTCTAATGTTGAAATCGGTTCTTTTTTTGCTGTTTCTGTAAATATAAAGTTTAAGTTTGTACATTCTTCTGCTTTCCTAATAATCCTTTTAGCAGGATATGAATGGAAGAGAGATGTCGCTGTCCCGATGGAGATGAGTGATAGCGTCATTGATGTTGATGAGAACCAGAAAGATCCACAATTGTGTTCAACATTTGCTCATGATATTTACGAGTATTTACACATTGTTGAGGTGACTTTTCCTTCTTATTCCTGCATGTGCATTCAAGCACTTGTCTCTATGCATGATCGCATTTATGCATGTGTGTGCACCAAACCACATGCAGCTTCAGTCCCTACTCATTTTTTTTGTTATTCCGTTTTTCTGCATGATATATTCAATGCTATGTTCTATAACAATGATTCAATGGTACGCTTTATTAGACAAGGAAGCTAAAGCCTCTTTCAATTGTATTTAATGTTTTTAGTTATTATTAAGTTATAGTAATTAGCAGATTGAAGCATTGATACAAAACTGAGAAAATCTTTCAATTTTGAAAACAAAGCCCCTAAGTTTTACATGGAATATGAAGTTGAAAGCTTAGTAGCACCAGTAATTAATTCTGTTGTTTCAGTTGGTTGTTAAATATTATTGAGTTATCTGTCTTGTTTTTCTGGAAAAAATGGCCTTACGGTTTCTAGTGCTTCAACTTTCTAGCCTATACCAATTTATGTGGTTGTTTTTTTACTTTTTTGCTGTGACCTGGGTACTCTGTGCTTGGCTTGATGGCTCTCTAATTTAATTTACCTTGTGTTATTTCATGTATTAATGAGTATGTCCTTCTCTTCTGTAGACTAGAACAAGGCCTTCAACAGATTATATGGAGAGGGTTCAGAAAGACATAAACACTAGCATGCGTTCAATCCTAATAGATTGGCTTGTGGAAGTACATTCCGGCCCTGTTGTCCTTTCATTATACCTTTTCTTTGATAATTAATTATAGAAAATCACAGGTAGCAGAAGAATACCAGCTTGTGTCAGACACATTATACCTGGCTGTCAATTACATTGACCGTTATCTCTCTGGTAATGAGATGAACCGCCAGAGGCTACAACTTCTTGGAGTTGCTTGCATGCTGATAGCATCGTAAGATTTATTTTTTCATTCATGAAATGCAATCTCTTTTCACCTAATGATTCTCTTACATGCTGATGATGATTGGAAATCTTCACAAGGAAATATGAAGAGATATGTGCCCCACAAGTAGAAGAGTTTTGTTACATAACTGACAACACATACTTTAAGGAAGAGGTTTGGTGTTTGTCGTTTTGTCTGACTTAGATCAGTGTTTTCCTTGCATTTCTTGTAATATTTTATTTTGCAGATATTGCAAATGGAAGCTGCTGTTCTGAAGTACTTGAAGTTTGAAATGACAGCCCCAACAACAAAGTGTTTCTTGAGGTAACAGTCTACTAGTATCTATTTGTTCTGTGACCGCATTTCAAGGTTTCTACTCACTATTACACTTTCTTGATCAAATCAGGAGATTTGTCCGAGTTGCTCTAAGGTGTAATGAGGTGATCTTAAGCTTTTTGTTTGTTGCTTCACACTTTTATGTGTATTGTCTCTTTTGAAACATCTATTCATGTTTCTTAATGTAGGTTTACCTGCTCGACCTACAGTTTCTTGCCGATTATATTGCAGAGCTATCACTTCTTGAGTACGACATGCTTCGTTATCCAGTATCAATGGTAGCTGCTGCATCTGTATTCCTGGCAAAATTCATACTTCAACCGAAAAAACATCCTTGGGTAATACGAGTGTACAAATTCATTTTTTTAATTCCTTTTTCCAGTGACATTAGGCGTGATTCTAAAAGAGCTAGCCATCACTTCTATATTCCCTATCTAAAGTTGCAATTTCTTGCTTTTATAACCTTTGTAGAATGCCACTCTGCGTCATTACACAGCATACCAACCCTCCGAGCTGTTTGAATGCGTGAATGCTCTTCATCATCTTTTCTCTAATAGACCAGGCAACAACTTACCTGCAATTAGAGAGAAGTATAGCCAGCACAGGGTACACAAACTTCTGTACTCAATTTCTCCAATTTGTCCTTCAGTGCATGCGTTTGATTATGAAATTCTGATTTATTACTCTTATGTTCTCATTTTCTTCAGTACAAGTTTGTGGCCAAGAAATTTTGCCCTCCGTCAATACCTTCAGGGTTCTTCCAGAATCCCAGTGGTTAGGCCTTTGATCAGAGACATCCAATTCTTTGTTGGTGGTTTCAGTAACAAGCATCTACCATTTTTCCCGCTGCCAGTTTTGATTGATTTCTGTATAGCTCTGATAAGTCTAATGTTCGAGTGATGTATCTGCAAATGCCATAAATTTGGTGTGTGTTTTTTTTTTTGTGGTGCTTGCTTGGTTCGTTTGTAGATTGTATAAAGACATTTTTTACTAATAGCCCACATGTTGATAAATTTGAGTTTATATTCGTCACTCTCATTATATAGTTTAATTTTTCCTGTATACCTTTTTGTAAGCGTGTTATGTTTTGGTGTTTCAGATTGTTGATGTGGAATTTTTACCGAGTATTTGGTCTTAGAATGATCAGACAAGCTGAGAGGGATGATTTTGGTAGGTTGCTGATGCTTTTGCAGATTTTCAAGTCCAGTGCGATCAGTTCGCATTCATGTCTGTCCACATATAAACAAATTAGTTATAATTAGGATTAATTGCGGATAGCTCCACTGTACCGCCCCATTTGCAGTTACTATGATGAATTGATGTACATCTGTACAACACAACTGTGGATAGAACCCTTGAGGCCTGGGTCTGGCTTGGTGTCCTGAGTGGACCCGGCCGGGCCGGGCCAGGCCCGGGCTCGGGAAAAGTCCGAATTCCCAAGCTGATTCCCGAGCTGAACCAGGCTTCTGGCCTGGGCCCGAGTCACCTCGTGGAGG